TTACTAAAAGGTTGCTTGGATTCATCCATTGGTCTATAGAAAAAATAGATGTTGAAAGTTTGATTTAAACAATCCCCATAACATATTCATTAACCTGAACCAACTGAAACCCAGCAAGAACCCATAGCTAACACTTTGAACAAACCGTTCCCCATTGAACAAACCAGGTTTTTGGGTAAACAATTTATAACATGCTTATGAGGAATATAAGCCCCTTTCAGCCACCCGAAAGCCATTCTAGGGTGCAATGCCTTTGTATTTTTGCCTGAGAAGTTGTGTAGTAATAAAAAGAGGAATCGGGCTTGGGTCAAGACGTTAAAGGCTGAGTTTTCATAACACAACGTCTCAAATCCCATTCTAGATGTTAAAGGCTGAGTTTTCATAGCACAACGTCTCAAATTTCATTCCTACATAACGTTGTCTAAAAAAACAAATCGCGTCGTAACAAAGATGTTAGAGAAATTAGAAAAGAAGGTTGTTTTGAATATGTGAGGGAACCGTTTGGAGGGGTGATAGGTAGAGAGAATCATGGATGATAGCTTGAAAAGAACCTAGGTTTTGGAAGGGAAAGAATATATTGGTTTGTGACCAACGCAAAGAATCACCTATTCAAATAGTTTGAGTACACATCAAGACTGATGAATCAAGTCGCACCATGTAAAACAGAGGGCAACAATACTTAAACCTGTTTGCATTTCATCTCATCTCTCGTAGGCTCACCTAGTCACTGAACTGGAGGATTTCGCAAAAATCCATTTCACCATAATGGATTTTCCAGTACCCAAACGGCCCCTAAAGGTTTTACAACCTTATGGTGCATTGGTAAGAGCACAATTTCATGTGCAATCCAACGATATCAAAAAAACAAAAAACAAAAAACAAAAAATAAAAAACAAAAAACAAAAAAAATAGCGATAAAAAGGGACAATTCGGTTTTGAAGCACCCCACATGTACATTCATATATTTTGCTAGTTGCTCTAAACTTGCAAGCGCACACACATATATACGTAGGGTGCGGTTTCTGTAAGATTGCAACTATAAACAATCCAATTAAGGCGCACTTTAAAATTTTATCATAACATGTAATTTTATTATAAATTTTTTTTAGTATTATCTTAAAATCTAATTTTCATACCTAATTAAAAAATTTTAAAATTCAAATATGGTTAAAATCAAGTAGATCTATAAATATAGGATAATCTTGAAAATAGACGGTCTAGATAATGTGTTGCAAGATACACTATTTTCGAGACTCAAAAACTTCTTTTTTTCATATTCATACATCTCGAAGTCGAGATGATCGATTAGAGGGTTTTTTCAACATTAAAACAACCTTTCCGGTAGACTTTTTAGGTGCATATGTGATTCTACATTTTTAGGTTGCAACTTTATTGAAACTTTTCTCATAT